GGGGGGGGGGGGGTTTCGCCCCCCCCGTCTAACTCCATAAACTAGTAAAACGCCTTTTGGGCGAAGTACGAGCGAGCGAGATAGTGAGCCCTGCACGTGCGGAAGGGCGAGAGGGTACTTCCAACGGGGCTTGTGCAAAGCACCCTTCTAACCGGTCGCTAGTGGTGTGCCAAATTTAAACGCAATCGGCTCAGCCGTTCCTAAGATCTGGAAGCGGCATTCTGCACGTACGCACGTGCAAACGGGGTCAAAACTGACTTTTGCACGGCACCCTACTAGCCGGTCCCCAACCGCGTACCAAATTTGAGCGCAATCGGCCCAGAAGTTCTCGAGATCTGGAAGCGCCCCTGCACGTGCGCACGTGCAGTAGCACCCTAACCGCAACACACGGGAATGCATTGCCTGGTGGGTGCCTACCTGTACGCCAAGTTTCAGCGAAATCGCCCCGGTAATTACCGAATTATTGAAATGGGAACAAATTTGGCACCTCTTCTTTTTTTATTTTGCACGTGCAGTGGGGGTCACTTACATATATCAAGAGTGTCCGACCTTTGGTAGAAGGGATGCAGCTACCCTACAAAAATTACAGCAAGACAAGCTCCCCAGCGGCTGCTGAGATATGAGCCTCTCAAAATCACTGTTTTTTGCAAAACAGCTTGAACACCCTTGACTTTTCACGTGGCACGTGCCACGACGGTCACTGAGATGTGTCAAAAGTAGTCAATTGCGGGTTAGAAGGGATGGGGCTACCCAGCAAAAAAAGACCGCAGGCCAATCGGTCCAGCGGTTGCTGAGATATAAGCCTTCCAAAAGCGTTACAGGCCGGGCCGGGCCGGGCCGCTCATACTGAGATTTTTCCGTTATATTGACCAGTATAACGCCTTTTGGGGCGACTAACGGAGCGAGCAGGGTTGCCAGACTTGGCGATATGTCGCCAATTTGGCGAATTTTGGAAGTCATTGGCGATAGAAGCACGGCGTTTGGCGATAGGCGATAAAACGTCAAATATTGGCGAATTTCCAGAGTTCGCCTCCAAATCGCCGAATATTATTTTAAAAAATAAACAAAACAAAGCAAAAAACATCGTTACGAAATGTTTCGTAATCTGATTAATTTAACCTTCCAACGTTTCATATTAGGCACTCAAATATATAATGTTCCTAACATTTAACCTAACATCCGAACATTTAATATAAATATAAAATGTTCCTGATGAAAATATCTTCTGAACCACATCTCGCACGACCTTTGCTCAGGGGTGGAGATATGTCAAAATGTCAGGGGGGTCCAGGCCGGGCAGATGGAGGCGGGCTGGATGCAGTACCATTGACTTACATAGCAGTAATTCGTTTTCAGGGGGCAGGGGGCAGGGGTCCTGCCCCCCGACCCCCCCCCCCGAGATCTCCACCTCTGCCTTTGCTATTTTATTTGGCGCTGGTTAAGGTACGCTGTTATGTAGATGAACATGAGAAACGAGATAGGTAAATCGTGAACTAGGAAACGAATCGTGAACACGGTTACACGAACGCCAACTTGCGCTGCTACGTATGCTTATACAGTGCATCCTATTTGGCGAATTTTGGCGAAATTCGAGGGGCGAATTTGGCGATAAGGACCATTTTGGATCTGGCAACCCTGGGAGCGAGCGAGAGGGTGAGCCTTGCACGTGCGAAATTTCGAGGGGGTACCTCCAACTGACTTATGCACGGCACCCTACTAACCGGTCCTTTATAACCGCGTACCAAATGAGCATAGGCGCGGGAGCCGGGGGGGCAGTGGGGGCAGCTTGCCCCCCAACTCTAGGGCCGTGGGGGCGGTGCCCCCACAACTTTGAGACGAAATACTGCACTTTTTTGCAAATGTTTTTCTTTTTTTGTTGAAAAAGCCAAGGGATGAAAAATAAGTGGCCTAAAACCGGTGAGAAAACTAGATTTGGGGGTACCCTATAGGTTCATCTCCATTATGGTGTGCCCCCCCCAGTCTGAAAGTAGTTCCCGCGCCTATGCAAATGAGTGAGTGAGTGAAAATGAGGTTTTAAGGCGTCCCTGTCCATTGGACATTCGGCCGCCTGTAAAGAATCTGTTTGCTAGAAAAATATCGAATTGCTAGAATTTTGATATTGCAAGTGCTCATTTACTTTAATTAAATGTGTGTGACTTGTGAGTTCTAAAATTTTGACCTTTAAAGTGCTCGGTAACGCGTTGTGGCTTTCTTGGGAGGTGAGTGGGATCCTGGGACTTAGTTACTTTACCTACTGTTAGAATTAGTTTTACGTTATAGTTACTTAAAAGGGTTGTTAAGATACCACTTTGTCCTCCATCAAGACAATAAATTCGATTTGGGATTTATTTTGCCATGGTGCCGGCACATGGCCTATACTCTTCACAAACTACACCATAGGTTCTTTATCGTGCGGGTTAGGAGGCAATCCCCACACCCCCTCTCACGCCGGGTGTCGCGTTCACCCTACAATGCCGGGTGGTGCATGGGCCTAAATAATTATTGTCTGAAGGACAAGACTGCATGGCCATTTAACAACTTTTAAGAGGTGAAGACCAGTTGGCCTCTCTTAATTTTGAATCTCTCCTGTCTGCGCGTGACTGGCACCAAGCTTGGGCCAGCGCACGGCTGAGTGGTGTGGTGAATGTCGGCCGGCGTAACTGGCACCAAGCTTGGACTAGCGCCCGGCTGAGTGGTGTAGTGAATATCAGCCGGCGTATCTAGCACCAAGCTTGGACCAGCGCACGGTTGAGTGGTGTACTGGGTGTCAGCCGGCGTAACTGGCACCAAGCTTGGACCAGCGCACGGCGGAGCCAGGAGAATTCTCGAGTGTGATTACCGCTAAGTCAACTGTTGGGATGTTGGGCACGGCACTTAACTGTTCGTTTATGTGTGCTTTAGAGTGCTCCTGTTAGCTTAGTGTCTTGTAAATATCTGAAGAGAAGTGCTAATAGCTCTGGGTGTCTGTCACCTACAAGCTGATCTAAGCTCAACGTTACGTTCTCCTGCCGAAGGCAATAATGTGTTGTCGGTGGAGGTTGAAGTGAGAGCACTCTAGCAGGATGTGTTGAACTGTAGGCACTGTGTTGACATTGCAGAAGGCACAAATGTTATATTGTTGTGGTTCTAGCCATGGTGCGTTGAGTCTGGTGCGTCCGGTTCTAAGTCTGGTGAGCATTATTTCCTTTTGCCTTGTGTTTTGTTTTGAGGTCGCCCAGAAGCCTAATCGGGGTTTGATTGAGTGCATGTGTGCTGGTCCTATCTCGTCCCATGTCGTTTGTCGTATAGTTGTATGTGGAGTTCGAGGATGGCCTTGCAGTCGTCTGCCGGGTACTGCATTGCAAGTGGTTCTGCTAGATGCAATGCACGGTATATAGAGAACTATGCAATGCTTGCTTTGCTAGTTTGTCTGCCTTTTCGTTTCCAGAGATAGAAGCATGTCCAGGAATCCAAAGAAATTTAATGTTTCGTTTTTCAGGGATAGAATTTTGAATGCGAGAAATGATGAAATGTGTTGGGCTTGTGGTGTTACTCAGGGCTTGTAAGACTGATTTTGAGTCGGTGCAGATTACTACGTTACTAAGCTTTTCATGGGTACATAGTTTGACGGCGAATAAGAGGGCCATGGCCTCAGCTGTGAAAATGGAGAAGTTATCCGGTAAACGTCTGCTTAATTCAAAGTGCGGAGTCGTCAGTGCAAAAGCTACTTTGTGTTCCTGTTTTGAGCCGTCAGTGTACATGAATGTTTTGTTTGTGCGCTGTGCTTTGTATTCGTTAAATTTCGACTGCATTTCTGTTGGTGTGATGTCTGATTTGTTTCCAGAGAAAAGATATTCGATTTTGGGTGGTGCCTTTAGCCAGAAGGGTTTTGCTCGAGGCCTGGGTGCCAGATCCGGTAAAGTATAAATTGCAGTTTAGATAAGCAGGTGCTCAACTGATCATTTAGTGATGGGTGTCGTAATCGGGAATGTCTATGACATCCGAGTCTGCTTATCGGCCGGAAGCAGTGTTGCACTGGGTGGTTCGGAGTTGTTTTAACGTTAATGGCATATCGGCAAAGTTGTTGCATACGTCTTTCCTGGCAATTCAACATGTTGACGTCGGCCAGAAGTGTCGTGTTTCGTGTACTGGGTATGGCCCCGGTTGCAATGCGCAGACATGTGTTCTGGATGGCTTCTATTTGTTTTATCTGGTGATCTGTTAGGCTTCCGTGATAAGCTATACTGCAGTACTCTAAAATGGGTCTGATGATGGCCTTGTATATTTGCAAAACCAGTTGCGTACCAAATTTGAGCGCAATCGGCCCAGCCGTTTTCGAGATCTGGAAACGACCCCTGCACATGCGCACGTGCAGCAGCACCCCAACTCTGGCACATGGACATGCATTGCTTAGTGGGTGCCTACCTACATGCCAACTTTCAGCGCAATCGGTCCAGTAGTTACCGAGATATTGCAACTACACTAGAATCCGCTTAACCCAGGAACGCCCAACTGGACATTTTTGTCCAACCGTGTCTCTCTGCAGTGCAGGGGACCCACAGCGTGCGACAGTGGAGCCATCTTTTAACAGCGGCCGGTACAAGTCGAGAAAGATCCAGCAAAACGTTTTAGAATGATTCCGAGCTTATCGGTCCAGTTTTGAGCGACAAGTCGAGCAGCCAAGTCGCTCGCTGGATTTAGACCCCAAATCGCGATGACGTCACATGACGAAAGGTAAGATGTCATGGCGCTGAAGTATTAGCCAGGTAAATTAACAGTGTATTCATGTTTGGGAGACTTTGTCCCATGTTTTGATGCGCTAGCTTGTTCTCCCAGTTGCGTTGCATGATCATTAGAAAAGAAATTGCAAAATATGGACAAAATTGTCCACGTGGGCATTGCTGTGTACAAAATAGAGCTGGCTTGCACAAATGCTTATTTGGTATTATCTGTTACAGCACTTTCAATGGCTCCATTCCTGTTTCAGACACAAGACAAAGACACTGAATGATGTCCTTGACATGGTTGAAGAAGATGCCAGCGGAGATGAAGCGGACATCATCCTCATCCCTCCAGAAGGTGACGTATCTGACGGCTACTCCGGACCGGAGGACGAAGGCGAGGGCGACCCCGACCATCCTTCTGCCCCCATCCTGAAGTCTGAAGCTGAACTTCAGCGTCGCAGGAGTTCAAGGACTGAGACCACTCACCAGCCTACCGCGCGACGTCATCAAGCTCATCACACTGTGACGTGGATGAAGCCAGCGCCTTCATCGGGAAAGCCTACCAGGCTTTTCCCTGAGGCTAACTTCAGCCAGTTCTCGGGGATGAGTCCAAACGAACTGGTAACACTCTTCCTTGGTGAGGAGATCTTCGACCTCACTATCAAGGAGAGCAGCCTCTACGCTCTTCGAAACGGACGCCAAGATCCACAGCTGAGCAGGGAAGACATCGCCATCTTCATCGGCATCCTCGTCCTCACTAGCTACCTGACAGCAGTGAACACCAGGTTCTACTGGCAAGAGGCTGCGGACACTCACAATGAGCTCATATGTCAAGCCATGACGCGCAATCGCTTTGACACGATCAAGCGGAACCTCCACTTCTGCAGCGAGGAAGATCCTGCTGACCGCTACTGGAAGCTCCGTCCGCTCATCAAAATCCTGCAGGTCAAGTATATGGAGCATTTTGTTCCGCAGCAAGCTATCTCCCACGACGAGGCCATGATCGCCTACTTTGGGCGACACGGTCTGAAACAGGCGATCCGGAACAAACCGATCCGTTTCGGATTCAAGGCCTGGGCACAGAACACGCCAGACGGATATCTCCTGGCGTTCGACTTCTATCAAGGAAGGGGAGTCGCGGAGCACACTGACGACAACGTTCAGCTTGTTGGAAAGAGCGGCGCCACCGTGCTCGATCTGCTGGAGCACATGAAGCAGGAGTTCCGCGAGCTGCCCTTCCAGTTCTTCGTGGACAACTATTTCATGTCCATCCCCCTGATGCAGGAGATGACGAAGAGAGGATACGACGTGACAGGCACGATCCGGGAGAACCGCATCCCTGGCACGACTGGCCTCAGTGCGACGAAGGAGTTTAGGAAGAAGGAACGAGGCATGCACCAGGCTGTCACCAGTCGGGACGGGAACGTGATTCTCGTCAGGTGGCAAGACAATGCACCCGTCACTCTGGCCTCGACATGCTACGGCGATGTTCCCCCAGGCAAGGTGCGCCGTTACAGCCGTGTGCAGAAGCGACATGTGGAAGTTGACCGCCCTCATGTTGTCGGGAAGTACAACGAGATGATGGGCGGAACTGACAGGATGGATCAAAATGTCAACCACTGCAGGATCGCCGTCAAGGGCAAGAAGTGGTGGTGGCCGATCTTCACATGGCTTGTGGACACGGCAGTCCACAACGCCTGGCGTCTTTACTGCCGCGCTGGCGGCACGATGACTTATGTCCAGTTCCGTCGCGAGTACGCCTGCACCATCCTGCGACGATGGGCCAGGGGAAGCAAGCCCATGATGAACCGCAACCTTGCGGCTCCAGGATCCGAGGCCATCCGCTTCGACGGGATGGGACACATCATCATCAAGGCCCCGTCACGGGGGACCTGCCGGAATGAAGGCTGCACGGCGAAGGTGGGAACCAAGTGCGTGAAGTGTGCTGTGTTCCTGTGCGTCAACTGCTTCGCCGGCTTCCATGGCGTCGCCCAGTGAAAAGATGTTCAGGTTTCCACTGGTGGACGCCCGGCGATACCCCTGCCAAGCAGCGACAGTACTGATGGCCCCAATTTGGGATTTGTCTCAGTTTGCTGCTTGATCTTAAATTCGTTGATTGATAATCTGGAGTGGCTGGATGTCACCGGTGTGTTGACAACATGAGCATGGAGAGCAAGTTGACAAGGAGAGCATGTTGACACTCTGGTTGATTTTTTAGAAATACACTTGCTTTTTAGCTGAATGGAGTTTTTTTTTACAGAAAACTTAAGTGGTCTGGTGTGGTTTGATCTAATCTTCCGCAAAGCACCATTTTTGTACATGGTAATGCCCATCTGGACATTTATGTCCAGTGCTATATGTCGAAAACTACAAAAGGTACAGTGATAATTTCTTCGGCTGTTTACAACACTAGTATAGGGGGGCAAACATGTGAATTTTCTTTGGAATCGGAGAACTTTTTTTCTCTGGGCACTGGGGGGTTAATAAATCCTCGGATAATAAATCCAGGCGCTTATTGTGGCCGCTTGAGCTGTTCACGTATTTTCTACATAGATAACCATAGTTAATAAATCTGCTTAACAAATCCACGAACTCCGCTTAATAAAGCCACTTGGGAGTTTCGAAGTCCGTAGTGACGTCTCCCCACTCGAAATGTGGCATCCAGCCCGCTGCCAAAGAACCGCTCTGGAGCAGTAGCGGCGGAACACCTTCAATTAAGGTGGGGGGGGGGGCACTGCCGACTTTTGGTCCCATTCTGTCCATGAAACGCCCATAGGGCTAACGTTAAAATGTCAAAATCAAAGGGGGCCCCGGTGCCCTCCCCGTTCCGCCGCCTATGCTCTGGAGCAGCGGTCAGCAGCAGTTGGAGTTCTAAAACAGAAGTTCAGGGCTATAAAAAGCGCTATCAACATGCACCTCAAACTCTGAAACGCACGCCTTTATAAATTAGGCTGCATTACGAAAGTCAAATTATTCGAGATCCGCACCCCCGCGACCCCACCGATGGCGGAGACCCTTGTCGCTTTCATTCATAGGTGGAGAATTGTCAAAATGCCAGGGGGTGCTTTTACTGGCGGATCCAGAGCTTGAGCGCGGGCGGGGGGCACAACAGGGAGGGGGCCAAACTTAAGGTACCCCCAAATCCTGTTTTCTCATTGGATTTAGGCCACTTATTTTTCGTAACAGCCCTGGCACGATGTTTTTTTTAACTTTTAAACTTTAAAAAAGCTTTTTTTTAACTTTTTAAACTTTTTTAAAAAGAAGTTGTAGGCCACCTAACAGGGGCTTTTTCTTTCGGCACCTGAAGCCTCTATGGGCCCTAAGCCTCTCTGGGCCCTATGTGGGGCCATTGGAAGTCAGGTTAACCCGCGCGGGGCTGGGGGGGTAAATTTTACCCCCCCCCCTCGCGAATTTTTGCGATATCTCAAAAACGGCGGCGCGCAGCGCCGCCAAACTTTCAGTACCTTTTCTTACATCAGTTTGACACGTTCCCTGGAAATTTGAGCGAAATCCGTCGGAAAATTTTTGAGAAATTGACGTTTTAGTGACGTCATGTTCGCCATTTTCGCCTCAAAAACGCCAAAAGTTCAAACGCCGCTAACATCTTCATTTTTAAAGGAATCAAGACGTAACAAAAAAGGATATACGTAATTCTACTTTGTCTATCAAATGGCTATCTCGGTTTTTTCGAAATTTTGGATTTTGGCCCAAATTTTTTCAAAAAACTGACTTTTTTGGGAAAATAGCTATAAAATCCAAAATTTTGAGTGTATCGAAAAAACCGGAATATATGTCAGAGAACTGGTCTATGTGCACCTACACACCAAATTTTAGAAGAATCGGTTCAAAAATGTGGGAGTTATTCAAAATTGTATGACGTCACGACACACAAAATTTTTGAAAAATGACTTTTTTGGAAGTTCTAGACCTCGTACGGAAACAAAAATAGCACCATTCGATTCGCCGTGAAAAACTGCATCAGATAGACACCTTTTTAGGCCTTAACAACCAACTTCAAAATTTGACCTCACTTGACCTGACCTTGACCTGACCTCGGCCTGAAATTCATCCAGAGGTGGTCCATATCACTTATTGAGTGTGCCTATTGAATTCTATGAGTAAAATGACCCATAAAACATGTGTCGCACAGGCCCTTTTCTATATTTTGTTTTTGGTGACCTGACCTGACCTGACCTGACCTTGACCTTGACCTCTGAATGATATTGTATGCAACGAATATTGTCTTGGTAGCCTAAGAACACGTTTTGGGCGATCAGTCTCAGTCCATGACTCCATTCTTCGGCAACTACGGTGCAAGGCCGATACTGTAGGAACTTGCAATTTGTACCCTTGACCTGACCTTGACCTTGACCTCAAACTTAAAATTAAGTACATGTTTTTAGTTGTTCGTGATGAGATCTTTCGATTGGCGTTTGAATTTTCCAAATCGGACCATTAGTTCGGGAGATAACAGGGGGGGGGGGTAAAATTTACCCCCCCCCCCAGCCCCGCGCGTTCGGCTGGAGACCCCAGCCCCGCGCGGGTTAAGGGGTGACCCACAGAGTTGCACGTGACCACACGGTGCCGACTGCCGGCACTCCGCAGGAGATCGTTTAGGGCCTCAGAAACTCGTCTTTTCTGTCAGAGGCCAGCGAAACCGCTCAGAGATTTGCGCGGGCCCTAAAAGATCTGCGCGGAGTGCGGACCTTCGGAGACCTGCGCAATATTTGCCCTCAAAGGTCCACCTGGGGCCCCTAGAGCCTGACGTAGGGCCCCTTGACATGGGTGTGGCCCTCAAAGACGGCTGAAGACCCTCGCCGGCACAGGCCATTTTGAGTCCTTCGACGGCACAAGGGGGGGGGGTTGGTACGACCCCCCCCCCCTCGCGTTTGGTCCCTGATCGAGCTAGAGCTTCGCGGAAAAAACGAGCGTGTTGCCCGTCACGAGAGGAAGCCGATGATACCCAATTTTAAGGTCCTAGGTCATCGGGTGACCTTCCAGGTCAGGTCAATGACCCGAAAACCGGGAAAATCGGGACCTGTTAGAAAGTCGTAAAGTGTGGCTGCTGTGTGGTTTTCCGGGGTGCTGATCACGAATATCGTGTTAGTTTTGATCATAGATGATGTCTTTAAGCATTTAGACCAGGTCGGGTCAGGTCAGGTCAGGTCAACCGGTAGGGGTTGTGACGGGTATTCGTAATACGTGTCAACCGCCTCGGACAGCTTCGTAACATGTTACGAAGGCACCAAAACTACTTCGTAAATGTTCAAATGGTTGCTAAATTCGAATTCAGCTCCAAAAACTAGCCTAGAAACATGTAAAACTCGAAAAAGTGAACCGAGGTCACCCGAGGTCACCAAAGGTCAATGACCTGACCTGACCTTCAGGTGACCTTGACACCCACCCTAATGCATGGGAGCAACATCAAATCACATGTTTGAACGTTTGAAACCACAAAAAGCTTGCAAACGCGCGGCTAATGCGAGCCGACATGCGCCGAACCGCGATTTCGGCCAAACATGGTCACAGAAAAGAGGTCACAGGTCAAAGGTCATTGGGGTCAGGGTCATGAAATTTTCAGGGTAGGTGTAGAATTGATCAATGCGAGGGTACTGAAAGTTTCGTCGCGATCGGCCGCTTTTTACGCGAGTTATTCGCGAAAAACCTTAGGGGGGGTTGCATCACCCCCCCCCCCTGTGCCGGCGAGGGTTAAAGATATGTGGGTCTTTAGATGCATGCGTCTGGTGATTGACTTGGGTTCTTCTGAATGGTTCTGAATGTTATGAGGGAGCAATTTCTCAGATATCAGCTAGGGCTCTCGGGGACTGCTTTTGAGCTTCAAAAAAGCCTGTGCGGGGCCCTTGGGGCGCATCCGGTGTCCTCAGGAGTTGGGTGCCTGTGTGCGGCGTCAAGAACCTGACGGATCTCTCAGGAGCCGGAGTGGGTAATTGGAGACCCCGGCCCCGGGAGAAGACTCGGCACTTAAAACTTCGACGGGCCAAAGGGCCGGGCGTCAGGGGCCCCTAAGCCCAATGAGGATGGTAGAGGACAGGTGCTCCCTGTGCCACCCTTGGCTAGGCCACTTGCCCCTTCCTCCGACCAATGAGCCAATGAGCGTCGAAAATAACTATTACATGCTCTCTTTTTCATCCCCAGGGTAGTCAAATCCTTACCTCATTCTTCAAGGACTCTAAAAACCTGGTCCGGGCTAGACCCTTGACGGTCACCTCTATCCGAAGCGTGTAGGTAGCTCCCCTAGAAGCGTGCTCAGGTGCGGTGTGAAAGCATCAGTGGGTCTGGGTAAGCTGTTTATCATGGCGGGCTCAGCCGCCCAGCAGTCCCATTCAGCCCCATGCAGGGCCCTGCATGCAGGTTGGCCGCCCACTGCCCAGTGCCCGGTGTCCCCAGGCCTGTCTCTCCCTATATTATCATGCTCCCGACTCTGCAGTCTGCAGTGGCGCAGCCAGGGGGGGGTCAGAGGGTCAGCTGACCCCCCCGAAATTTCTGTCAGGGGCCCGCTCGAGAGAGAGAGAGAGAGAGAGAGAGAGAGAGAGAGAGAGAGAGAGAGAGAGAGAGAGAGAGAGAGAGGAGAGAGAGAGGTCCTAATCTAATCGGAAGAGCCCGCTTCGAGAAATCCCCACTGCGACACCTCGGGTGAGGGGTCGGCCTGGGGCCCCAGGTGGACAGGGCCCGGGCCCCCAGGAGAACAAGCCCGGCCCCTGGGTGGATGGGACCTGGGCCCCCTGTAGATGGGTCCGGGCCCCCGGGTGGATAGGGCCCGGGCCCCCCGGCGGATGGGGCCCCGGTGGATGGATCCGAGCCACCGGGAGAACGGGCCCCGGGTGGACGGGGCCCGGACCCCCGGGTCCCGCGAGAACGGGTCCAGGCCCCTCGGGTGGATGGGGCCCGAGGCTCCGGGAGAACGGGCCCGGGCCCCCTGGGTGGAGGGAGCCCGGGCCCCCGGCTGGATGGGGCCCGGGCCCCCGGGAGAACGGCCC